TCGTAGTAAAACACAGATTGAAAATTTGGTTTCATAAGCACTTTAAGTTTGCTATTGGTCCCCGTTGTAAAATTATTGCCGATTTGGTTTGGCATTGATGTGCTAAAAGGCCATCGCAATCTCTTGTCGCCTTAATAATAATAATGATGATAATATTTATTTAATTTAGTGCTTTTTACTCATAGCTCAAAAGCACTTTAGATTTAGACTAATGCTACTACTACTAATAATAATAAAGAAAGATAACCTAGTAATGTCAAGACTCAGTCATAAAATCTTAAAATCGGGAGAAAAAACGTCATTAAATATTAATTATTTTTATCAGCTGATTAAACCAGGAAACATTAAATACTATCATAATTCACTTTTGTTGATTGAAAGCAAAAACATTAAAAAATACGTAGAAGAATCATGGGTAGATCTAGGAGTTTGAATAGGGGAGGTCACAAAATTGAGAAGATGCACCTTTCAAGCAATTAACAATATTTCATTTTTATACTATTAAACCAAACAATTTATTCCGAGCTAGATCAAGGGGATCCACCCAGCTGAGACTGGAACTGCTCACAGTCTATCTGCAGTGGAAAGCCCTTTCTGGCATATCACAATATCATTGTACAATGATGGAACTTCACTACTTCTCACGGATCATACTTACTGAGCCAGGTTGATACAGGGCATACTCATCACAGAAGTCTTGCACATCTCTTGTCTGAGGTACAGGCTCTAGCCAACCAGATTCTAACAAGGCTTGACCAATAGCTACAGCTTGATATCTAAGGAAGATTATGAGTCAAACACTACAGTATTAGAGAGTTAAACATGTTGATGTAGATGTTGCTGATGATGTTGATGTTGATGTTGATGATGATGAAAATGATGACAATGATGATGCTGATAATGATGATGTTTAAAATCATGACGACAGCAATGATGATGATGAATATGATGATGATGTTGATGACGTTGATGTTGATGATGATAATGCAGGCCTCGAAATAACGGGCGGTCATACATTGGTCGATACTGTATGTCGGGCTAAATACATTTTTGACCAGTCATTGACAATTTTTGGACGGTCAAAAACAGATGATGTTATAATGATTATGATGATGATGATGTTGATAATGATGATGAAGATATGATGACGATGATGATGATGGCACCTGGTGATCAGGTGGCAATGTTAGAAAAAACATAAATACACAGTTGTGTGTGGTCACATTTTCACGTTTTAAAAATTTTCTCCCCTTCAGATAAATGGCAGAACAGAAAAACTCAGAACCTCATGGACAAAATAAAGAAATATGTGTAGCAAGGTTCAAATATCTACGGTGAGCAACAAGCATTAAATTTAGATCCTGGCTCACCTCGTCATTGCCTTTTCATGGGTGATAAGCCATTCAACCAGATCAGTTGCAACAAAGCAATTCTGATACGTTTTTAGTCTGAACCTATGACTTTGAAGCTCTAGACCAGACCTTTTGGACATTATCAGGTGCCATATTTCTCGAAGTGAGTCCTTAAATAAAAAGAAATATGATTATTGATCATATTGTATTTTGTAAATCTTCCATGGTTTTAATAGTTAACTAGTATATTTCCTTCATGAAGCCCCTGGGGTTTTTTATTTTTCAGTGCTTTTGGACTGGGGGTTTATTAAAGGGGGAGGGGACAGGGGGCTGATTAGAGGATGAGGGCTTTTTTCTTATCTTTTGAAATTCATAATTATTCTAAATATTCATAATCTTGACAGAAGAAATGACTTTAAAAAGGCCTGCCAAGGGAAAACAACCACAACATTCCTTAGGGTTGGGGGCTTATTAGGTGCTGGGGGCTTAATATTTAATTTTTGACACCTCGGACTGGGGACTTATTAGAAGGGGGGCTTTATGATTAAGACTGAGAGCCTATTTACTTTTTGGCACCTCATTCTGGGAGCATATTAGAGGGACCCCCGGGCTTAATTATTAAAGGCTGGTGGCTTAAAAGAGGAAATGCTGTAGTTTAGTTTATGAGGAAACCAGAGAAACAGACATTGTGTAGTTCCAGAAATCATCCATACACACCCCACAGAGGAACTTGGAATTTCCAAAGAGTAGGGGGGTCAGAGAAAGAACAAATATTACAGAGTTTGTATAAAAGAAAAATTGGAATTTCCAGGGGGTAGGGGGGTATGGATAATTTTTGGAACTACACATTTGTATTTTTACCTGTTTGAGCATGTTAGCCTCTGCTGCACAAACACCAAAAGCATCAAAAGGACTTCTGACATTCTGCATAGCAGATGAAGGCCGACTCTCTCTCTGTTCAAGCTTATCAATGTATATACTACTAGTGCTACTAGAGCTTGTCTTTCTGCTACTTGATATCGAGTATTTATCATCTTCATCAAATGGATTGCCAGCTCTTGGTACACTCAGGGTATTCAGTGAGCTAGAGTGGTGTAATGAGTAATCAGTATCCATGGATACAGCTTGGATATCAGCTTGGAGTTGTTCTAGGTTTCTAAGCATGTCAGGCGATTGTGTGTAGGTTTGAAATATCTTGTTGCAGTATGTGCACACACGCAGGCCCCCTAAAATGCATACATTTATGTAATTAATAAGATTCGCAGAGCTAATACTACCAATAATTTATCATGATTGTATAGTTCCAGAAAATATACCACCCACGGAGGAAACTGGAAATTCTGGAGGGGAGGGGGTCAAAGAAAGAACAAAATTACAGAGTTCGTATGGAATAAAATTGGAAATTTCTGGGGGTAGGGGGTACCTTTTACAAATTCCCTCCATGGTGGGGGTATGGATATTTTCTGGAACTACACATTATGCATTGAAACAATTACATTTGCAGCAAAGCAAAATGCATGTACTGTAGCATTAATTTTAATTTTCTAGTTACCTGAATACCCCATCAATTCCCCTGGGATTTCAATATTGCAACATCTATAGCAGAATATTTGTCCACATAGCCTACAGTGGTGGCGTCTTCTAAAAGTATTAAACTTCTCTCCACATTCATAGCATTCTTTACAGTGTTCATCTGGCATCCAGTACTGTTTGAAATGACTCTCATTGTATGGTTGGAAGGGCTGTAAAAACATAATGGCCGTCAATTAACATGGAGGTCAATCCAACCATTTCTTCAGGTGAGTAAATTTCTTCTAAACTGTTATCCAAAATTTACCTGTGTCTCAAAGCTCACACACAGGATTTATAATGGCTTCAGTTTTGGGGGAGGTCAAACACACATGTAAGGAGGAGGTGATGGTGGGGTCTGGGAAAAACAGCCAACAATTATTTTGCAGCTTGGCCAAATTTAAACACCAAATCGAAAGATGGATGGAAATATGCTGACCAATTTGAATAACGATTGTTCTGGACTAGCCTCATGTTTGTTCATGTTGGAACACAAAAGCATGTGAGGCTAGTCAGTCCAGAACAATACAGTACATAGTTATTCAAATTGGTCGTAATATTTTAGCCTGCGTAGYGGCCCAAAGGGAAGGGAAAGGGAGGGAAGGGGGACTGGGGAAAGGAAGGGAGGAAAGGTAAGGCCTGCAATGAACCCCCTTGATTTTTCCTACGAACATTCAGAATCCAAACATTAATTTTGATTGGCTGATAAGTTCGATGCGCCAATCAGATGTCAGTGGAGTTGATTCAGATACTTTATTTTTTCATTTGATTGGTTGAGAGTTTGCATATAAATTGGATCATAAACAACGAAAAAAATGTAAGAAAGATTAAAGATGAAAAAAGCTGAGATCAATAACACTAATCAAACAAACATTTTCAAAACAAACACAAACAAAAAAGAACAATATAAAAACCAACACATAACATTAATACCTAATACCTATCTAGTGAAAAATGGTTATCAATATAAAAGCTTACTAATCACGGCCCTCTTCAATGACTTATTCCAGACATTGTACTCTTATGAACAAAATATCCAACACAAGAAAAGTTTACCTGGTCTCCCTTGGAATAGTCCGCAGCAGCACTCAGTCTTTTAAATAACGCACTCAAGTTCCTATATCCTTGAGGGAGTTGCTTCCCTTGGCCTGGAGAGCCCGATGACCCTGACCCCTGTCGACGATGAAAACGAGGAGATGACCAAGATCGCGGGATTTTACTCCTTAATGAACCTGGAGAAGATCGCCATTGGAATGATGAAGTAGAACTTTTTGGCTTATCTTCATTCTTGGTTGCTGCATTTGAAACAGCCTTAGCCCCGCTTGATTTCGGTAATGCTTTTGGCTCAGAACTCTTCCATTGAAATAATTTCGAGAAGAAGTAACTCCCTTTAGTGTCTTCTGGACTTAAAGGTGTGAAAGAAGTGAAGCTATACTCATTTCCTTCGGATTTTGGAATCTGTCTTGTCGAATGCCCATGCAGTTTTCCGATCGAACTTGGAGAATTTTGCATCGTCTTTCATATCATAAGCCATTAATGACAACCATACTTCCTAATTCTATATCGTAGGGTCGCTAAATCCGTAAAATAAAGAAGAAATAAAAGGAAAATTTGCARCAATTTCGCAGAAAACCAGAACTCAAAATTGTAAATTTTGTTTTGCTGCGAAGCTTGAGCCCGCGAATCATGTGCTGATCTAAGTAGAAAAACTTTTGATTGGTTGAAAATTTTGAGATTGACCAATCAAATGCTATCTTTTAGGAAAGTTCTACCCATGTAGTTTCTCGTGTTCGTGTAATGGCGGACGAAGTAGAAGATGTTTTCATGGATAGTTTACAATTACAGCTCTCTGAAGTGGAAATGCTGCAATCGATGTTTCCCAACGAGGAGGAATTTCGTTTGGAAGACCCTGGGGTACTAGTTGATGTACAGGAATTCATTTCAAGAAGGTCTAAAGTCCTTCCTTCACGAATAAGCTTCTTCCTCACAGTGGAATCTGAAGCAAAACAAAGAGATGATGAATCAAGGTCGTTGAAGAATGGAGCCTTTATTTTTGAAATGTACTGTAGTCTCCCACATGATTATCCAAATGAAAAACCAGAATTATATGTAAGGTCGCCGCAGTCTATAAACAGAGAAATACAGAAAAAGCTGAACCAGGAATTGAAGGACTTTCTTTCAACTTTGGACCCAGGTGAACTTTGTATTGTCCCTGCCATCCAATGGTTACAAGAAAATTCCCTAAATTACGCAGAGATGTGCTCAAAGCAATGTAACAATACCGTAGAAAGTTACCATAGTGTTAAAGATGATGGACAGTTTGTAAGAATGTGGATGTACATGCACCATATTTACAGCAAAACCAAAAGAAAAATTATTTTGGACTGGTCTTCAGACTACAACTTGACTGGGTTTTCGTTGCCAGGCAAGCCTGGGGTGGTTTGTATCGAGGGTGACGAAGCTAATGTTGAAGAATATTACTCAAAACTAAGACGTTTAAACTGGAAAAAGATTACCTGTCGCCACAGACAACTTGGAGAAAGTAATCTAAGTATTGATGTGCAAAGAGTTTTTAAAGGTTTTAAAGAATTAGCCTTTGATGTGCATGGCACGAGAGAGGGTCATATGGACATGGGGCAATTTTTTCAATATTTACAGAAACACCATCTCAGTGAAGTGTTTCCCATTTTATTTGGAGTAGAAGGAAAGTAAGTATGGGAAAGTATGAGACAACTATACAAATAATGTTTTTAACATTTTAATAGATCCGCAAATCAAATAAGCTATAATTATTTTTCAAGATATATTTATATCTCAAGCTCGCTACTTTTTTGGTTTAAGCAAACTGCCCCAAACCCTAGCAAATGAATACCAAGCAAAGACTTTATTTCCCCTTCAGCTAGTATGCTAGCACTAGCAAACAAGTATATTTAGAATATGCAGATAATATTTGGAATAGTCTACCAATATGTCTATGCATATGGCCATCTAAGTTATTTTGAATCTGGGATTCCCAGGAATCCAGAATTCTCTCATTCCTCTGATTCTGGTAAGCTATTCTGTGGTTCAACTCCCAAGACATGCTAGTAACAGAATTTTGGACCCAGGGAGCTTTAAAGCACTGTGGTGCATTATAGTAACAGCAAAAGACAACACAGGCCAACTATAGAAAAGTCTATAGGGCAAAAGCTATTTTTTTCTAACATACTGTAGAATTAAGGAATATAAGATGAGCGCACATGTCTCTGTACTGTGACATACGTAGCATGCTGGGAGCTGTGGAGCACAAAACAAGCTTAGGAACATGAGGTATAGCTGAGTGTTCTCTTGCTTTTCGAGTGCTCTATGGCTCATACTGTTTTTATCACAGTATGACATAAGCAGCGATTTTATATTGCTTTCAAAAATTCATGAATAATTAAAGACCCTTTGAACCAATTGAAGCGACCATACCTGTCACATGCATGGATCTTAAACCCCCTAAATACCTCTTCATTAGTTTTCTTTATATAAGGAATACTAATCAATGCTAATGAGGATGACTTTATCATAGATAAAGGTACATCCAGGCATAGATCCTCATCAAGCTCAGTCTCACATAAGATCATGGATGACCCACAAAATATCGCCGAGTAGTGCCCCTGTCTTGAGTTGGTCATGCTGTCTTCAATTTTTGGGAGCCTTTTTTGGACTCACTGAGCATGACAGTGATGTACAAACCTCACTGTGCATAATATTGATGTACAAACATCTATCAAAGTAGAAATCTCTATGTTTGCGACATGTATGGTAGCTGTAATTCAACCAAAGGTTTGTGAATTATACCTAAGTTTTTGAAGCAGTTCAGTGCTTCAGGGTCCCATTTCAAAATATTTACAAACACTTGTTACAAAGGGTATGACATCTGAAAAACCCTCGTTACAAAGGGTATGACATCCAAAAAAAATCAAGTAGTTTTTGCACTACAGCTAAATAAGACAATATTCAAAAAGATTATGAATTCAATTATATTAAGAGCTGAGAAGAACAGGGAGAAAGAAAACAAATCAGAAAATTTAGGGAGAAGGGGGAGCCAACATGACAAGTGAGAAAAAAATTATTATCCAGTTCAATTTAATTAACATTTTGCTGAAGTTTGTCAATTTTTGGGGAGAGAGAAATAGCTGAAAAAATTATGGAGGGAGAAAAATGGCTGGAAATAATTTAAAATACTTGTTCCTTTCTGCTCTGTCGATCAAGTATTCACAACCTTTTGGTCTTTAGACCTCCAAGGTTGATGCGAATAGCCTTTTTAAACAGTTTGGATGAATTATTTTTTTCTTGTCGTTCATCTTCGTCATTGATCTTCTCCTCTTCATCTCCTTCCTGCTCTTCATTACTTTCACCCCCATCATCCATATCAACTTCAGTTAAACCATATTCTCCTGCAACATCCCCAAGACCGGCTTCTGCAAGCAAACCAAAAAATACAAAGTTATGTCACCTAAAATTGGACAGGCCATAAGACTACATTGCAGAACCAAATGCAAACCACGAAAAAAAAGAAAAAGAAAAAAAAAAAAACGAAACGAAAAGCAAAAAAACAAAAAAAAAAAAACCCGAGTAAACATAATAAACTAGTTCAAGATCTTTTAATCCGACGAAGGACTAGCGTCCGAAATGTCAGTAAGTTTTTTCATCTTTTCACGGTGCATAATCTACCTTTTTATCATTACTAGTTCAAGATATGAGAACCACAAATCATTGAATAAATTGAAATAAGTTAATTGAACACCGTTAAAAAGGCATACATAGTTCCCCGCCCCCTAAATCAATAAAAAATACCATCTCGATGCATATAAATTCTATATAGAGGATATTACATGGGCGCGCGAAGATATGAATTTTATCTTCGAGTGTTCAATTCGATCACGGAATGAGGGCCACAGGTTTGTTAGCCATCGGCTATTAAGTGCTACCCTCGTAAAAAAGGACTTTTTAAAACAAAAGCTCAAAAATTCTTTATTAAAATAGCAAGCCGATTCAACAGCGATATCTTCACGTGTGAAATATATGGTGTCTTCCACTGGTGAAAGATATCAAGTTTTCGACACTAGAGAAAACCTGGTATTTCATCGATATCTATATAATAAATTATCATATGAAACCTCTACTCAGTTATATACTGAGACACCATTCTTTCGTACTTTCTAGTAGCCATATAGTTCTACATAAATCTGTGAAAGATCAGTAAACGAAAACATTTCCTTGGTACCTGAAAGTTCACAGCTGGGTTTGGCAATGCTTTTTGTCCTCCATCCGCTGTTAGCGTCCATGCTTCGTGCTTCACTTTGTACCTCATCAATAGTCAGCATGATTGACAGACAGCAAGACAGAGAACAACGAGGATTCTTGATGAGATAATATATACTTTGACCAACTGCCACCGAATATTTTACTGCAAACGAAACATTTTAAAAAGAGATGGGGGTCATCAACAGGTGTATAATGAACACAAGCATGCGTGTCATTACTTACCGACAACGAGAGCAGTAACCATGACATTAGAAGTCACTAAGAGTACTGTGATGATCAAGGAATCCATGATCTTAGCATCAGCATCCAGCAAGGCACCTTGGTCTATCTTGAGCATCATCCCAATACACGTGTTAGCAAATGTTACCAGAAGTGATGTTAACTGAAGAGTATGCTCGAACTTGTCGGGAATCGGCATAAAGTGAGCGTGAAGGATGGCATAGCAGCCTGTATATGAAAAAAGAAGCAAATGCAATTGGGTGTTTTATAAATAATTATATAGTTCCGGTCACTAATTGAATATGGATGCATCTTCATATGTTTACCTGAAAGCATTGAAGCAACTCCAAGAGAGTTTCGTCCTTCTGCACCAATCAAAGCCAAAGAAGACGTCAGCAACAGCTTTCTGGTCATCTCAATAGTTTCCCAGAACCAACAATTATCTGCGTAGTTTTCAAATATGAAACTCATTCCTGCGACAATTGGGACAGTTGCTACAACAGATCTTCCAAGTCGCCTGCCTTTCTTTTCGTTTGTGGACCCCTTTTGGTTACTGAAGACTTTCTTTGTCTCAGATATTGCACGGACAGCTTTTGATAGAGAAAGTCGTGGACGTCTTGGCGGCTTCTCATTTCTGGACATTTTGTTCTCGTCTGAATAATTTCCAACTGTCTGTAACTGGTCATGTTTTACCTCACCAACCATGAAGTGGACATGTCTTGAGTTGGGTGTCTTTTTTGGTGACGCAGTTTCGTTGGCAACAGCAATCGTGTCTTGTTCTTCAGATATCACCTCTAGATGTTCGTCTCCTTTCTTGATTACATGATTTTCTTTTCTTGAAATATTTGTGTTCTGACACTTCTTAGTATCTGTTTTGATCACTTGTTTTATTTCATCTACTGATTTAGTACGCTTTTCCGACTCTTTTGTGTTACTTACCAACTTTTCATCCCTCGAGGCAACATTTGCAGCTTCTAGCAAAGTCTTCTTGTGGTGATATTTCCACAGAACTGCTACCGTTAGTAATGGAACAGCAAAGGGGTAGATCAATGCAGCATAAGCCAGGATCACATACTGGTTGTATTTGTCAGTAAAGCAAGTTATGGAGTAGTCGGCCTTTAAGTAGGAGGAACACTGTTGTTCGCTGCTGTCTTGGCAGATTTTGTGGCAAGATGCAGGGAGCATTTGGAATATCTTTGAACATGTCTGTGGGTAAGTTACGAAAATGAACAGAAAAACGTTTCGGTAGCAAGCCTCTTTAGTAGCGTCTAGGTCAGTTTGAATGGACGATTTTCCAGCCCTTTTGCTAAGATAAACACGCTTCAGGTGGTAATAGGCCAAAGCTACAAGAATGACACCAGCAGTCATGGAACACGTGATTACAAGATCTGCGTACGCATCCATCTTAAGACGAGAATTGAAACAATGTAGAGGTGCAATTTGCAGGATGTTCAGCTGAACGAATTTGGCGTACTCACTCATCTTGGTCAAGGCACTTGGCCACTGAACATACGAGAATGCGTCGAGTGTACCAGAAGAGATTTGATAGAAGGATACAATGATCTTGAGACGAGCAAGGATGATGTCGGTAAGGGAGCGCTTAGCTCCTGCTTTGCGCTGCTTTCCTTTGAAGACCACGTAAATGATTATCACAACAACCAATAAGATTGCACAAATCTATAAAATAGCAATCGAATAAAAGTAATGTATGTTTAGCTGTCAATAGCAATTTTATTTAGAAAACAATTTTTTTTATACCTGAAAAATAAGCCAGTGTACAGCTGGACACTKGAAACACGTTGCAATGAGCTGGTAATGTTTCTTGTCACATACAGCACACAAGGGACCTGTGTAACCCTCAGCACATTCAGCGTCCAGTCCTCCAAGGCATGACTCTGATCGTGGACATTGGTAATGTTTGGGGAAAGATCCATTAAACTGAACAAGGTCTCTATCATAGCTGTCGTCGAAGATTTGTAGGTTATTGGTAAAGTTGATGTAGTAATCTTTCTCTGACTTGGAAATCCATTGCCAGTAGTACCCAGCCTCCAGGGTCATCGACTCGTTAAAACACCTGACGCCAGAGTCAGGACAAGGGTAGCACTTGTCAAAGCGATCGAGACGATAAAACTCGTCTTGGCATCYACAGGCTCTGAAGCCTGCAAACCCATCATTTTTTGTTCCTATAAAAGGGTTTTACATGTCACTTGAATAAATTGTTAGAACAAGATTCAAATGTGTAACAAACAAAAGAAAATCTCTCCAAATTAACATTAGTATGAATTGATCAATGAAATGATCTATGGAATGTTGAAAAATGAGTTCCCAAAATGCRAGATTGTTTCCTGGTCCTTTTCTTTCCTTCCATCTTTTTCTTTCGTTCCTCCTCCTGTTCCCTCATCCCTTTCTTGGTTCTTCGCCCGTCCCTTCGTCCCTCCCTCCCTTTTATAAATAAAATAAGAATGTTCGTTGTACCCTCAGGGCATGGTTTACAGTCTTCTTTTCTTCTTCCTGGTGCTGTTCTTACAAACGTCCCGTTGTCGCACATCTGGCATCCATTACCATACGCTCGTTCGCCATAGAATGCAAGTGCGTCTTGGTAAAACCCACCTAAATTTATATGTTATATATCATTAGTCACACTACCATGAAATGGAGTCACACTTCATTCATATTAGCCTCTTACGCAGACGTTCTTAGGGTCTATCGGGCAACGTTGCGTGACAGAAAAGAAATGAGTCTGTTTAGGAGACTACATTCACGTAAACGGCGCATAACAGAATTATATCTTCTGTTTTGACTTATGTTTTCAGTTCTCGACGTTAGCCTCAATATTGTGAAGAATACTCATGCATTTGTTCCATGCAGTGAAGTTTTTTTTACTTTTGCATATATAATTTACTAGAAATACTAGTATTCATAAATATTTTGACAGGGAAATTTGAACAAGACAGCAATCATGAGTCTGCAATCAAGAAACACAGCGGAATCATAACATCTATGGCATGTGTCAAAAACATTCCGATCTCTTTTATTTCTCTCTGATTGGTTGGCCTACCTGCTGGACAAGAAATGCAAAGAAACTCTTGTATTGTAGCATTGTAGGTGATGTAACTCCCGGATAAACAAGGTTTACAATATATGTATCTTCCCTCATTATTGCATTGGAATCCAGTGCTGCTGTACCCAGCCATCAAATCGCTACTCAGGTCTAACATTTTTATTGTCTCGGCATTTTCGGTTGGATATCTCAAAAGAAAATATACGAAAATTATAAAAACACTATTTAGTAAACAACTATTAAAGCCAGCTATCCATGAATGCTCGTTTACATTTCCTCTATATGAGTTTTTGCTTACCACTCTTTTTCGAAAATGTTATTAAGTAAAACGGTTTGTCTCTATGTTATCTAACTTGCCGATATACCGTCATCTTAAAATATCGTAGTTCACATTACCAGGTTTAACCAAGGGCGGATCCAGGGGGTGGGGGTAAAGGGGGGCCGATGCCCCCCTTCAGCAGAAAAACAAAACAAAACAAAACTGAAGGATTAGGTACTTTTTTTTATTGTTTTCCGTTGTGTTGACGGAAGACACTCAATTAGCCCCCTCCCTTAAACTCAATTAGCCCCCCCCCCCAAATTTTGGCTGGATTTCCGCCCTTGGGTTTAACGTCAACGAAAGAAATATCATATAAGCAATTGCAGTAAAATTTCAAAACTGACTGATCGGACGCCAATATGACAAAGACTTCAAAATGTTTTGTCATTCGGAAACTAATACAGCAACTGCATAGAAAACTCATCATTATTTCTTACATTTGTATTGCTGTTCTAATTCTGTACACGAATGGACTAAACCATTTCACGTTAAGGTTTTTGATCTTGGTTTGCAATAGGTACCTGTAAAAGATACATCATTTTCAGTGTATAGAAGGTTCTGAAGGGGTGGTCCTAATCCCATTTTCCCGCCCCCATTTTGAACAAATCCCGTAGTACCAGCGTATGTTTCCCCCTTAAAATCGCACGATATCAATTTTCAGTACCAATTAGCCCTTCGGCCAACGGTGCGAAGAAAGGGCAGTTTTGATAGACTCTTATTTCTCAATTGACACGGTTTTCTTTGTTATTCACAAGGCTTTATTTTTGTTATAACCCTCATTATAAATGCGAGGTCAATATATTGTTAATTATTAACACGGTTAGTAACTAGATATAGACTTCGCATTTATAATGAGCAACATTTGATAGAAAACCTTCTCAATTGAGAAATAAAATACTTAATTACCTAGAACGGAGGCAGTAAGCCTATACATCCCGAGGGCCGCAGGCCTGAGGGATGTATATGGCTTATTGCCTCCGACCGTTCTAGGTAATTAACTCTTACATATTAAAGACTCTTGGGGAATATGATATTTTACGCATTTTGATTGGCTATTATGAAAAAATGGAAAATAACAGGACAAGTGATTTGCACCTATGACGAAAAATGACTTGGCAAATCTTCGCTGTAAGAATGATCTCATATATCAACTTTTTTATGCTTCAGTATTTCATGCTYAAGTATTGACCATTCCTTAAGTCGCCATTAATCAGTCTTCTATTAATACATACAGATTTTTGAGCATGAAATTCCTAAGGAAAGCTCCATCGGCGATGTATTCTATTGGATTATCTGAAAGAAACCTATAAAAAAAGACTAATTGAAGGTAAGGAAGTGGATATTTATCATATAAAACTGCTCCAGCCAAAGTAGCGGTTGGAAGAACTATTGTCATTCAGGGGGATTTGACATTCTGAGGGATCGAAGCCATATTCAGAACACCGGGTCTGGTTGAACCACTTTTAGGCCCTTTGAAGTACGTCGAACGTGTCACATCTTCTAAACCTGTAAATGGATAATTTGGGAGGAGCGGGAGGGGGGATATTTTAATATCAAATTTTAAAAGGTCATTCGGTGTTTCAAAACTCTATCTATTGGGAAGCAGTTCATGATAATGTCAAATTCGAGATGCAAATATATGATTTTGATGTAAATATGAGCCATAGGATATAAAGAAACTATGTTATAATATAGTCAAGTAAATCCACGCGATCTGACTGGTTGAAAAGCATGAGTCATTTGGCCATGGGTTGCACGCTCACGTCACCTTTTGTTTCTTCGGCCTTCAGGCCCAAACAGTCACTACATTCGGTTTGCCGGCCCATAATAGTCTCCGTTGTCATTTAGCTGTCAGAGTTTGGAACGTAATCCAATCACATGCAATGGGAAAATGTAAAACATTTGACCATGCAGAGTATTTCGGAGAGTTGCGGTGAATCTGTGTAGACTATATTTTGCCCTTTGGGATGACGCCGTTTTTTGGAAAAAAATATATTATTGATTAACCCTACAACAATGCGTATTTCATTTCTAAGTCAGTATCTAGGTCCAAGTCGCCAAATAACTATGTTATTGAAAAGTTATCCAAATGCTTTTGCGGTAAATTAAGGCAATTGCCAGTCTCAGCTGCCTGTGAGCATTAAGTTGAAAAAACTGGTGAGTTTATCTATGTAACTATTAAACAGTTGATGCATATGTATTTTGTGAAGCATATGTCGTAGTATGTCGTAGCTTCGTGCACATCTAAGGAGGTTTTTGGTATCGCCTATTATTTAAACTAGGTCCTTACAACAAGTGCGTACTTTACGACTTTAAAGATAGAAGTCTAAAATCATCAGTTTTCATTTATTAATACTCTGATTTAAAGTATTTAATTTCTTGGAATCGGTAATATTTTTGAAACACCAAACGATGTAAATTTTGAGTAGATTGGTGACGGCGCACTGGTCAAAGACAAGCCTTGTATCTTGACGTTCGCATTTCTTTTCAAGCTACGGTATAACAGATTAAAACATTTACCATTAAATGTCAAAGAGCACARTGATGGTTTAAAAACAATTCTACATTCAACATTGCGCGTACAGTAATGCTCATGTGCCAAAATATTTTGCACTTTGTACTCTGCTCTGTGCGATACTCGATCATTGTTAATATCTATTGTCGGATCTCTCATTTGTTCGGCGAGACGTTATATATGTATGTTACGTTGCCCTGTTTTCCCCAAAAAACTACGATGTTTCAAAGCAAGAACCACTAAAATCTCCAAAAAAACTTAATTACTATGTGTTTCGTCCAAGAGAATTTTATAACAAATGTTCCCAAATTTTCGTAAGACTTTGCAGCGAGGCGTACCGTTAGATCGCTCTGGTCTGCAATTTTCAAAATACAGGAGGCCCAATCATTTACACAGCAAGACCAAAAATCTTTTCAGCAATGCCACACAATAAATAGATAACGGGCCGAAACATCATCGCTTTTGAAGCGATATGGGCTTGTTGTTTCTGCGAAAAAAAAAACTTTATGTATCTTTTTGCTGACAATTTATCTAGAAAAGATAACTGAAAATGACTGAAAAAACTAGCGAAAATACTCATCAATCTCCGACATTTAGTATGGAGTTGTCATTTGATCAGCCTAGTAATAAAACGTCAAGATTTGCATCACTTTCAAACAATGAGCTGGACAAGATTGTGTCTGAGCGTCACTCCAAAAAGACAAAGCAAACCACGAATTGGTAGGTGTCTACATTCAAAGGTTTTTAGCAATGATTAAACAAATACAAAAAATATTGTTATCGTGTATTTATTCAACAAAAGTATTTCCAAAGTAATTAGCTATAAATATCACGCTCACCATTTACTTCGCAGCTTCACAACTGCAGTGAAGTCTTTTCTGAAGCTCTACATGGGAGTGAAAGCCGACAAAGCATACTACCCAGAGATAATTCCAGTTCAATCAGTTAGTAGTTTTGATCCGTGTATACAAGAGGCTTTCCATTGGTTATGTAAATATTTGGGTACTAAATAAACTATGTATGTATAGTCATTGTACGATAACAAATGTTTTTCATTGATTTTCTTGGCATTACTGTACTAAGATATGTCAACATTTGAAATGTACTTCTTACAGTTGAAAATCACTTTCTCCGTAGTTTTGAACATTCTTGGTTCACTCGAAAGTAAAATTTTTGCCATTACATTACATTACATTACCTTACATTATTTTAGTCATTACAGTCTTCAGTGTAAAGCTGCCATTTTCAAAACGATGCTTTTTATTCACGCAAGGTGCGTAAGGAGAAATTAGGGCATGATCAACAAATAAAGTCAATATTTTGTATTCATTTCTCGTTCGTTTACTGGACTATATTATAAAAGCAATGGATCATAAGTAGCTGTGCGTCCATCGAGTTATGGATGCACTTGGGAGCCGGGCTGCTTAAGCACTAAAAAAGCTGGAGTTGCACTCCGCTTTGAGTCGTGCAACTCTTACGCTTTATTTCGTGCTTAGCAGCCTCCCGCGTGCATCCATAACTCGATGGAACGCACGCTACTTGTGATCCATTCCTTAACTAATGATCATTAGCGATGTCACTTACAGTATTTCTAAAACGAATGCCCAATTAAACGTTCCACTCGTAATGCGTTTCAGTCTATTGTTATTCAGCAGGCTTGTTAAATACAAATAAACAAATTGAGAAAGTGAAGCAAAAGTAACTCTCATTTTGAACTGACTATGGGTTTAGAGCGGATTTGTGTGTGAACCCGTACCGTGACCGTGAAGGTGCCGTGTCCCAGCTTTCTGATTGGTTCAACCGCAACTTTGCGTGCTCTAGTGAATAGCAAAATTTATGTCATCGATCAGTTCCGTTCATTAGTTGTAGTAGGTCACGTGACAAGTAATTTTGATTTTCAAAAAATACTTACAGATGATATAATTTTCTATTGTTCATGAAGGTGTAATCTTGGATGTTTTCGATGTTGTTGTATGATGCCCAGCTGTATAGTGGAAATCAAAATGCAAGTTAAAATGAAAATGAAAATGGGCGTTTGCATGATGGTGTCATTTGACTACCCCTACCAGAATGCTTCGCGAAATTTCTTTTAATATTCAAATTTGCATTTCCTCCTGAAGAGAAGAGTGAAGACAATTGGTGCTTATTAGCTGAACAAAAGAAAGTGAGCAAGAGATTCTGGTTGCGGAAGCTAATGATAGACGCCATAATAGACCACTTGCTCTGACAAGTCACGTGACCCTACCTCCCTTAAAACAAGCGGTTTAAAAAATAAAAAAAAAAACAGAAATGAAAAGAGCACCTCGGTATTTGGAGGGAGGCAGAGTTTCAACTCATACTGAATAAGCGAAACAGGAGAAATTGCATTAGATATAAAATAGTCAACATTTCTTGCTGAAACTTCCCTCTTTTACTAAATTTGAGGTGCTCTTTTCATTTCTGGARTTCATTTTGACTCATTTGCTCGTTTAAAGGGAGATGGGGTCATGTGACCTTTTAGTGCAAGTCGTCCGAAAGTGTCTGTACATCATGTTTATGAACCATGATATTAAAGTTCAGTCTAGTTGGATTAGACTTCGGCGTATCGATTGCATTGATATTCATTGGAATAATATCAAGTTAAGGTTTCCGATTTGTCCATTTTATAGGGTTTGCTGGTCAGTGGTTTTCTGTTGTTTTTTTTTTTTTTTTTTTTTTTTTTTTTTTTTTTTTTTTTTTTTTTTTTTTTTTTTTTTTTCCATTCAGTGACCACGAATAATAGTTCCTAACCGAGGCTGGAGTTACCGCGCATGATAAACTGTAGTTTTGCTATGCACGGAAACTCCAGCCTCGGGTAGGAACTATTATTCGTGGTCACTGAATGGAACTGTAAAAAGGAGTATTTGCTGTTTACTTTTCAAGCTACTTACATGGTAAAACAAGTTTCTATCTTTCATTTGTTCTTTTATTTTTTTCAATCATTCCAAAGGGCGTAAAATAACAAAAGACGCTACGGCCATGTTGGTTGATATAACAAAATAATTCATTTACAATTCTTTTGTTAAATGTCGTTATGTGCAAACGAAGAATAGAGAAACCTACTTATTATGGCCAATACCTTTCACTACTTACAGAGCATTTAGTTTTGGTAGTGCGTACAAGACTGCACGACTCAGCGACTTGGATGTGATACTGTTCTGATGAAGCATTCTAATGATATGGATGTCATTTATCAAAAAGATGAACGTCATGATATTTTAAGGTATCGAAAAGTGTCGTGACTTATTTTAAGGTATACTGACAAGCGAAAATGAACTATATATATATGTATATTTATATATAAGAGAGGGAATCGCTGGTATTCATGTTTGCCAGGCACTAACATTACATAGATATTTAGGGTGCATTATGGGTGATTTTCAATGTAAAAAACGTTTAAATACAGATATTGGCGTAAAGAAATAAATGAGTGAGAGATTGGCAGTAATTAATGTGCTTCCATCGCGTTTTAACCTTGTTACAATGGCTCACTCACTTCTTAGTGTTAGAGGGCCCTGGGGACGAGTTTGATCGAGTTTTTGGTGCACGAGGGAGTTTGCTAAGCACGAAAGAAGCTTAAGAGTCACCCGAGGCATAGCGTTTGTGTGATATCTATAGATGTAGCAATGACATCTAAATAGCGTTTCAAAAAATCTTCCTTGCGATAGTAATTTTGGCTGAAGAATGATAATCGTTACTGATTCTCATCACAAAAATAATATGCTGCCTGTGTGCAAAATTTCAATTTTGTGTACTTACAAGTATTTCACTTGTCCAAGATTTTTGATATGAACACTTGACAAATTATTCATACCTAAAAAACTACAAATAGTACAACATTCGCATGAATATCGATATTTTGTATAAGGTATGTGCGTCATTAATTTAGTAATTTTAGTGTATTGACTTACAGGGTTTCAAGGTTCCTGGTATTTCTAAAGATCCCATCAGGCAGACTTCGTAGTTTGTTTCTAGCAAACCCACTGAAATAAAAAGAAACAGCAAAGGTCAGCTAATGGTCAAAGTACGGTCCTGATTCGATAGCCCTCTTCCGAATGCTTCGCATGTCACGCACAAAGGGTTCAAAGCGAGGCTTCGTGCATAATATTTAGTGATTCGTGACAGGAGAAAAGAATAAATTTTATTTCGCATGTAGTCTCGTACTAAAACCCTTGTGTGGGACAAACGAAGCATATCTCGGAAGTGGACCATTGGTTCTTTAGGGGGTACTGAGAAGTTCTTATCACCCCCTCCCATCTTTCCCCCCACCCTCGATCCCCCTCAGTGTCTCCTTAATGGAAGATACCACGATTCTGTCTTCACTCGTAAATAACATGCATAAAAATACAAATTACATAATGCCTCGTTTTGAGCTTTGGAGGCATTGAATTAAAATCTAGCTCTAGGGCAACACCCGATATCATTATCTCTCCTGTCGACATATTATTGGGCCCGCCCGTCAAATAACAAGTGCTTGTGCCATTAGTTAACGAAAATATATAATCAAAACATGTTATAATAAAGGAACAAAGAACTTACAGTATTTTCAGATTTTTTAACTCCTGTAAGAGATTCACAGGGACTACCTCCAAGAGATTGTTCTCAAATGATCTGTGAACGACAGTTAAAAATATACACATAGAAGAAAACGTTTCTATATTTTGTACAGATAACTTACAAAACTTATAGTATAATCAACAAAATTACTCGACTCTGATTGGTCGAGAGGAGTACAATTATAGCGTTAATTGTACTCCGTAGGAGTACCGAATTAAGTCGCTATGGCAACACGGCCAAAACAATGTCAAAACAATTATTTTCTATCATTTTGTACTTAAAAAACAGATAAATGAAATTTTAAAGCCGTAAGAACTAATCTTTTTTATGCATTCCAGTTGCGCGATTGACTGAAAATCGGCCTCCAAATAGACAAAGATGAACGGCGTTGCTTCGCATTTTTTACTGAAATTTTGTTGAACAAAAAATCGCACGATCTTCTCGTACAATTTGGAATTAATAGACACTCGTAATGTTTTGAAAGTTCTTTAATTGCACTCGCCTAAAGGCTCGTGCAATTACAAGAACTTTGAAAACATTACTTGTGTCTGTTAATTTTCAAATTGTACTCGAGATCGTGCGATTTCCTATACTAAGAACAAATGAAAAAAAGGTTGAGATTGGGTCGAGTTGGCCTTGCCGTCCGTTGTGGGACTGTTTAATGGAACATATTTCAAAGATGACGTATATTCCGTCAACTAAAACAGCCCCATAATGCACTGCAATACGAACTCGTCCCAGCTAATACTGAGAAACTGAGTAATAGGAAAGCCATAGAGTGTAACTTAATATCTGCTAATTGACTGGTATCATGTCAACACCTTGCCCGGTAAGGTTCTGTGTAGACAAAACGTACCTTTCATACTATTAAGACGGTTCCGTGTAAATGTTATGTACTGGTCAAGTTTTTCGTGCGGTACCGCGTGCAAACATAGGACGTTATTTTAAATATCAACTCCCAAAACACTATTGGATGCTTACAGGTAGCCCAGTTTGGTGTTGTTATGAAACAATGTTCCTGATAGATTCGTTAGTCTGTTGCCACTTAAATATCTACAATATAAACACCATACAGAAAACAGGCTAAAAAAGCACTTAATGACAAAATAAGGTAACTTATAGAAAACATTTAGTATAAGGTCATCCAGCCATTTTATTACAACAGTGTTAATTTCTAGGTTAAAACATCTCTGCTGTTTCTTTGCTTTGTATTTTCATGGCAATGGCAATGGCAATGGCAATAGTAATGGCAATGGAAAGTAACATAAACCGAAAATAGATTACTTAAATTCAAAGCTAGTGTTACATACAAATTGTTCAAACTGGACATGTACTTGAACGTATCAGGGTGAAGATTGGAGATCTGGTTGTAGCCAAGCCCTCTGTAGAAAAAGTGATTAGTATGGGAAACAACGGTTGTTCACCTAATGAATAAGATGGAGTATCTTTCAAACAATGCTAATTGAATATAAGTTACGGGTATTACAGCCAGCATTGAAGCTCTATTTGCGTTGTCCTCGTCCAACATTTTGTTTCACTCATCAAAACCGGGGCGAGTATAGACGCATGAGATTGACTTGTTTTGAAAAAAATTCTCAATGTGATAGGCTAATCGTTTTTCTTCAAGATGACATGGTCCAAAATCTGTGGCGCGAGGAATAGCTAGTGATACGAGAAATTACTTTGCAGCTTAGAAGGAGAAATGTTGCATGCTGCTCAAACAGAATGAAATAATAAATACAGTAAATACAGATATATGTGCATACAGTGTTGTAAGCATCGTCGTGTTGCGAAAAATCTTGTCAGGCAGTTCAGTTAACTTGTTTGTCTCTACTAATCTGAAAAGAAAATAGTACATATAAATCAAGCGAGTAAAGCTWTCAGGTTATTGACCGTGTCTACAGCTCTAACAAAAGGAAAATAAAGTTAGACGTAGTACAAATCATAAAGTTGCATGTTGTTATCAAAGATTCCCGCCGTTGAAGACATCAGTTGGTTTTGGTCCAAAGAACTGATACAAGAGTCAAATAGTAT